TTATATTAAAATAGCCAGTTAGATAGTCTAATTAAATATGAGATTCACATGATATGCGTCGATGACAATTAGAAGTATGTATGTAATTGAATATTTAATGATATTGAATTATTGATTATTATTGAGAGAGTAACAAGTAATTTTTAAAAAATTATAAAGTTTTTATAATAGATGCTATTTTTGCTTTCTAAATTTTGGATTAAATTTCTTTTTAAATCAAACATTGCTCAATGTTTTTGTATTTGTTTTTTTTTTTAATTTGGGAATAATTTAATTATACAAATAGGCATTTCTTATTAAATTTTCTTTTCTTGTGTGTACTTACATTGTCGAGCGTTACAAGATTCCGTGACGATGGCAGCGTTTCTACTAGTCGAGACAAGTGTGGCCTTCCATTTATAAGAGCTTCTATGCCCCAATTTCAAGAAGCGTTTTACTACGTTTAACACTAATAAAGAATGATTCTTTCGAGGAAGCAAGCAAAGAAAACAACTTTACCAAATATAATTCTGACGCGACTTATACATATACCTGCTCAGATATTTACATTATTAACAGAAATTGTAGTAATCGCGCGATTATCTATCATGCGATGTTTAAATTCAAGGAATGGAAGATTACGTATTTTTTAAGCATAGAGAGAGTACTCAAAATGAATATCATAAATCTTAAAATTATTTTAAAAATTGATATATAGAATCACTAGAATAAATAATAGGTATAATTGTAAGAAAAATGTTTGGAGGGGTATATTATTAAAAAAGGGTATATTATTATTTTCTAATTTATTGCAAATTAAAGAACCAAATTTTCTTTAGCATAAATTTTATATTTATTATATGTTATTGTAGTAATTATATTTTATTTTCTTTCTTATCTGTGTACAGGTAGTTGAAATGCGGAAAATACTTGCAATAGTTCATTTTTCCGCTTTTTTATCTCTTTTTCAATGTGTTTGAGTATTTTTTCTTCGTGAAAGTTACTTTTCACAGATTTACTTATCTGAAACAGATTTTATTCATATTTATTACAAATTTAATTTTGCAATGCAGAAGTCTGAAAGATAAGATATAAATCCTTTTTTAACGTAATTAAATATATCTGATATTAAACGTCATTTATTTCAAGAAAGTAAATGATTAGACTTATATCTTTTTAAGATTCTTTATTTAAAATTTACGTTCCTATATTTACAGTAAAAAATTTTTGCATTTATAAGATTAATGCGCGAAAAAATTAATATAAGATTTATAGAAAAAAGTAACTAATAAATTTTAATTACTAATAAAAATGCATAGTTACTGATAAAAATGTGAAATTTAAGTTAAATTTACCTTGTCAAGTGATCCATTAAAATGCACAGCGTTAATAATAGCAGTTGTTAATGTGTATATATCGATTCCTCTATAAAAAATAAAATATTTATTAATAAATAAGTAATAAGTAGCAAACATATCTATAATTAGTAAGAGACATTAATACTTGGAAATTGTTTTATTTAAATTCATTAGTACATAGTCAAGTACTAAATCATTGTTTGCATGCTTTTGAAGAATAGAACCGTAGGCATCCTTGTAATGTTTGTTTTTTATTATTGAATCGTGTGATGCAGATATATTCAAAAATTTGATCAGAATATCAGGATTTTCAGAGCAAGCCAAGTAATCTAAAATATCTTCGTCCGATTTGTTCACATATACATCCATAAGTTTGTTCCAAATCGTCTCGTTTGCTTCCATTATACCATTGCAATACACCCACTCTTTTAAATTTGGCGAAACTCTGCAAGATATGTTATAAAAAACATATATGTAACTCTCTACATTTTATTAAGCATTTTGTCGATTACATCTTTTCACTAATCATAATAAAATTACTTGTGTATTTCGGGATTTGCAAGGTGTTCACTCAATTTGATCGTTGCCATTTTCTTGCATTCAGAATGACCGAAAGTACATGCCCATTTTAAAGCTGTGACTCTCTTAATTTTTGTAAAATCGTTTTCCATAGGATCTTCTTCAAATCCGACACTCTCAACAAGTCCTTTCAATATTTCGAGTAAGTGCGACTACGAATCATAAGCTAATATTAATTTTGTTGCAATTTCCGCGCAAGTTTAAAAACGCATTATTCGAGTGATAAAATAATAGTTAATGATTGAAAAATCAAACAGAATATATTTAATAATGAAGCAAATAGCTGCTTTTAACAAATTTTATATTAATTAACAGTTGACATGTTTACAGCGATTGATTGGCGCACATACATATATGTTTACTACAATCTCTTTTAGATTTATTTAACTAATTATTTTCTTTTAAATTGTTCAATAAACTTCTTATACTTTGTCTAAATATATATTTATATAAATGTATTTATACACGGAGAAAATTTTATATCAAAAATTACTATGTACGGTAGTAGCCGCGGACTATGAAGAAATTATAAAAATTTGTATTATGTTTTTCACACGTGAAACATAGTAAAAATTTTTGATTCGCGGTTTTATGGTCCGCGGTTAATCCATTTTTTTATTAAATAAGATTTTTGCTACTTGCTTTGATAATCGCTGCTTCTGCGAGGTTATAGAACTCCTCTGATATATTGAAAATTTCAAACATGGGATACCATGCTATGTAATCTGTTTCTTGCGCTAAGTAAGTCATGAGATCCAGAAATGTGGAGATATCTAATTGTTTTGTCATCGTAAGATGATAGGCATCGTCAATAATTTGAGCACGATTGAGTACATGTATTTTTGTATAATTGCTAGATTTGAGATAGGCCGTAATTTTTTTCCAGTTTGAGAGATCGTAATTAACACGATAGTATCCTGTAAAATTAATTAATGTTATAAGTTTTAAAATATGATACGAAGTGAGGATCTTTGTGATGACACTTCGTATCATATTTTAAATCTTACGAGCCTGTAATACACATTTAATTTAATTATAAGTTTTAATTATTAGACTCTCTTGATCAGATTTATTAACATATTTCTCAAGAAATATATTTGAACACCTTTTTCTTCTTTCTTTTTTATTCACAAAGCGTATTTGGAAAGTATATCAAACATTGTTTATGTTACAAAAAAAGAAAAGTAATTATAGATAATTATTAATTATAAAAATAATTATTATTAACATTCAAATATTTTCGACAAATTAGGCAAAAGATTCTTGCGTTTTAGTTTACATTAGGTTAATGTTAAGTATATTAAATATATTTACCGGTTTGTTGCAAGTTTACTATGATCCAGTCATTTGGATTAATTCCATCGATAATTATACTTTGATCCTGCGGTCTTAACCAGTGAGTGGGTAAAGTGTTAGAAAAATCAGGATTTGTTTGTGTAGCAAACGTCACAGGTATCCACCATTTATTGTTATCGATATCCTTGTTGCTTGGCATGAAATGTTCTTGTGTTAGTATTACCTCGCCGGTATCATTGTTTCGGATCACGTGTACCACAGGATAATTCCTTTGTTTTATCCAGGTATCCATTACCTCTTTCAATTCGTAGGCATTGTGTGGCACATTTGATTCATCTAAAGCTGCTTGCAAGGCGCTCCATAAGTTGTCGGAAGTAACCGAGCTAAACTGACTAAATTGTAGATATGTAGAGAGATAGCTTGTCGAATAATGACGTAACAATCGTTCTGATGTACAAATAACTAAATCCATAATAAATATTCGAATATTATATTTTGAAATTTTGTTTTGAAAAAAAGTAAAGTCTCAATTATTTATATAATTTTTAATAATTTTCTGTGGTATTAATATGCTTATTTATCGCGGATTTTTACAGGATATCTTAAAACAACCGTATCATTCGTCAATGACAGATTCTTGAGTTTATTTGAAGGGAAAAATCTTCACATCAAAATGTTGCATATTGATTTTTATATCCTTACTGTACTGAGAAACTTCAGAAATCTGCTATTTTAACGAGTAATAAGAGCACTTTGAATTTAAAGTTACTGTATCTTTTAAATTTTTTCCAGTCGGATTTACATTGAATATTTTATATATTTTGCAAAGCACAAGAAATATATTACTTACTGCGTATGTAAATATCTAATAATACCCTCTTGAAACACCTCATTGGTAAGAATATGCTGCAACATGCGCAATATGGCTGGTGCTACGACAATTAATATTATATAGAGCGATTATCGTGTTAAAATATAAAAAAGTTCAGTAAGTTTAATATTCAGTAAGTAAATATAATTAATTTGATAGAAAAAATCAATTGTGTGATGTAAAAAAATACGTATATTTTTTCATATTTTTACGACAAACTTAATACCTCCATAATCAGCAAATAAAATTTTTTACTGTTAGTCTATTATTATCATGAGTTATCTGCGTTTCGGAATTTAGAGATGTATTTGAAGATTCACTTAATCTCACCTTTGGCATAAATAGACGCAGAGAAGAGTGAGTCAATTTCATGCGGGCTGTTGACTTCAAATATAACAGGATTCAATAGCTTAGCAACATCTCCATGTAGAGCAGTTTGTTGAATTTTTACCACGAAGTACTCCATCATTCGCCAATCTTTGTAAATCTATATATAAGAGTTTTGATCAATTAAATATTAAATTAGCAATAATGATAACATTATATTAGCCATTTAAATTTGTTTATAATTGAAATAATTGTAGTTTACAATTATTGTGTGCTATTACATCTTTTTAGACATCAAAGCATCGCAAACGTTTTTTCAACTATTTTATATTTCTAGATTTAGCAAGAAAATATGAATATACAAGCCATATAAAATAAATTTCCTCGATATTTCAATCTTTTTTAAATTATATCTAGATAATTTTTCGAGTGCACAAGTATTATATATAAGTACACGTAAATTTGCATTGTCATATAAATCTACCTGATCGAGAATATACTTTTCAAAAAATGACGCCAATCCCTCGTTTAACCACACATGAGACCACCATGATGGACTGACTACATTACCAAACCATTGATGTGCCATTTCATGTGCTGCTACTATTGCTACCCATAGTTTCATTTGTATCGGATCTATTCCTTCACGATATGTAAAGGTATCTTCGCTAATAATTATTTATAAATAATACAGTTAATCCGCTTTGTATGCAATATAGCTAATGTTCACATTAAAATTATTTAACGTAAATGCCTACACAGCACGCATATTCAAAATGACGTGATTGAGAGATACGTTATCTTCGAAATGTCTTCCGAACGTCACCCGAATATGCATGCTGTGTGGCTGTGATTGCTCCCATTTTTGATAATTCCCATTTTACGATTACAAGATATCTTTTTCCAATTTGTAAGTGCATAGTCCAAAATATGACTATTACATTTTCTTTCTATCAAACTTTATATACATATCTTGTACAATCGCTGAATAAATTCCGATTAATAAAAGTTCTCGATCTTTTTACAATCTTTACACCGCAATATTTCTCATGAATATGTGTGACTCAATAATTTGGCAGCCATAAGGAATTATCAATCTGTTAGAAGGATAATTTTACTATAAATGAAGGAATTTCATTAATGTTTTTTTTTAATACATACGAGTGTACGATGATTCCCCAGTTTTCCATTGCACCAGCCACGCGGAATTGCGGAACCGCTACGTGATCCATTTTTGGAACTTTAATGGTGCTATTAGTATATTCCGTCAATAATTGTTGAGCCTGTTCAGCAATCTTCTGTGCATATATTGAATACGGTGCTAATGCTGGTCTGCACCACATGTTAACGGTCCCATCTTTGTTTGGTACGCGAACATAATCGGCCACTACAAACGTCACAAGATAGGTAGACATGACGGGAGTCGTGTCAAAGTGCGTCCATATCGTGTCGTTTTCGTTGCCATCCTCCGATTGTTCTCGTATCGGCATATTTGATAGAGCAGTATAATTCCGATGGTGCTTTATAGAGATATTGAAAGTGGCTTTTAATGCCGGCTCGTCCCAACATGGAAACGCTCGTCGTGCCCAAGTCGCCTCGAAATGCGACACGGCCAACCACCTATCACATTTCAATGACACGTTTCCAATAATGATAAATTTTCAACCGCTGTTAGAATGAGCGAAGTGTCCGGAAAACGTGTGAATGCGGTTTATGAATCAGTTTGATAATAATATGTGATATTCTTGTAGTCTGGCCGCGACGTATGTCACTTGACGCTCTCGAGAGATAATGAAATTATGCAGGTGTATGTATATCTTTTTTTAAAAATTGGTTAACCTTATTTTGTTGGAACAATTGAACATAATTATGTAATAGGGAGATGTCTCTAAAATCTTTCAAGATTGATAATTATTTAAAAAAAATGTATCAGATAAAATTTTACTCTAAAATTATATAAGATATAAAAAATAATAAAAGAAAACATACATAATATTATATTTACAAAAATATAGATAAATATTTAAAATATATTGCATATATGAGGTTGCAAAGTGTAAACGTCTCATTAAATTAAAGATTTCCATAAGTATATGGGAAAATAAAAAAATGAAGAGATATTTTCCATTGATTTCGGAATCGGAAAAATCTTTCTGATTTTCCCTAATATTATTTAAAACAACGATAGTGACGGTGAAAAATATGTGATGATGGTGACAAATTTGAAAATTTAATACAACATTTACTCACACTTTCTTTCCTTCTTCATTGATGTATAACGTTCTAAAGAAGCCGTGTAAATCGTTGTGTAGAATACCGACGAATCGCATATTTAAAGTGTAAATGCCGAGCGGTAATTCAACATCGAAATTAAGGACTAAGATATTTGTTATATTATTATAATTATTCACTTTTGGCGTGTAGATAACACCATCGTTGTTAACCAGTGTCGTCGCTGTTTCGTTTATCATCAAATTCAGTGCGTGCAAACTTAAATATTTCGTTACACGACGGATCTCGATTCTGATATTGGTTTCACCGTCAAAAGTAAAATTATTCTCTTCAATATATGGTATTACTTTGATATTGTAGTGTATTGGCACCACGTTGTCTGGCAAACGATAAATCACTGTTCCATTCGATTCATTTTCTAAATTAAGCACAAAAGCCGGTATGATGTGCAACGATGCGATATATATTAGACAATAACTGACATTCAGTAATGAAAGTTTTAAAATCATCATTCCAGCTCTCCTTTTCCAAGTATCTGTGTGTATAAATATTTTTTCTTAGAAAAAGAAAAAAATAAATGCAATATATTTCTATAGAGGTCTACGCGGCGATACGAATAAAGAGACCGAATTCAGATTTGTTAGGATAACTTGGATTTTATCGCAACGATATGAAAGTTAGAAGTCCACACAGCACGGCGTTACTACTAAAACAACAATGTACGAAGGGCACACCCGTGCTCAGTCCATAAGGGAATGTATAATTCTCGTCGGAACGCCCTCTTTGTCGTCAGAGATTCGAGTGGGGGAATCCTGCGCACAATAGAGAAAATATTAGAAATAAGAATAAATATTAAATATTAGGAGTAACTTGAGTAAGAGTAAGAGTAATTTAAAATTATTTTACTTCAAACAAGGGAACGGAATTGATTTATTTCTAATTCTTATTTCCTAATTCATGATACGTTAATCCATTTCATTTTCTTATTTTGAAATGAAATAACATCGATTTCTTACTTCTAATATTTAATATTTATTCTTATTTCTAAAATTTTCTCCATTGTGCGCAGGACTCCGATCAGACTTAGATTTGGGATTCCAACAATTTTAATAATTTTGTTACTTTATTTACAAGAGGAAAACTTTAAACTCATTTTTCTCGTTTTTGAGAGTTACATCGAGTGGCTTACCCTTTCATTAGTGGGAGGATAGTACTACAACATAATATGTGTCGCCCTTACCACAAATATGCCAATTTTCCGATTTTTCACTATTGTCATTTTCTTATCCAATTTTGGACAAAGATTCTATGCCAGAGACACAAATGCAATAGCAATAGTAAATCAGCACTTGAATAATCTGAAGGAATTACAAGAATAAAACAAGAATCTAATTTTTCGATACAAATTAAATTTTTAAATAGCAATAACTCAAAAACTACAAAATTGCACATTCGTAGTTTTGGCATAAGAGAGGGACAATATATATTAAACACGTCAAAATCGGAAGGGACAAATTCTGATAGTTTCTTTGTTAACATATCGAGTAAATTTGAAAAGAACTTGCACGAGCGTAGAGAATAAACATTTTATGCAGCTATCTTATAATAAAATCTTAATTTTTAAGTAAAAAGCATTCATTTAATTTAATTTATTCTAATTATAATAATTTATAATTTTGCTTTTACGTATATTATGCCGTGTGCCACATTACGTCATAATATTATGGCAAATTTTGTGTTAGGACCACAGTAAATTGATAATGGCCCGCATAACAAGAATATCGATTAAATCAACATTTGAATTTGAATTCATGACAATTATCGAAAGCGCGCGACGAGATGACTGCTGCATTGTAATCAGTTTCTCATTGTTGTCAGAATATATGACGAATATTACCTTCCCGCTTTGCGCGAATAATCCCTGAAATCCGGCTGTGGAGCAGTGAAACGTTGCAGCGGCTTCGCACGTAAATGAGTATCACCTTGCTTCTAGTCGATAGTAAAATGTCTCCTCTTGTGAAGTAAAACGATTCTAGTCTTGTATTTATGACAATCGGTATGATGATATGTTGTATAATATTCGAAATGACAGTCAATGTTCGACAGCTATTCTTTAGTATTTCAAACGTGACTATGGCCTGAATAATTTATACAATTGACCTATTCTCGCATTATGAAGCGGCAGTATGTCATACATTATAATTTATAAATACATGAATGTGCACAAAGTATAAATTCTGAATGGTTATCTGATGCAAAAAGTTTTTTACTTCAATTTGTATTTTTATGATTATTTTCGCGTTACGTTTGAATAGCATTTATGTGCATTATGTAAAGTATTATAAATATTATGGTTACTTACATAATAGCAAACATTTTGGGGGCAAATGTATTTTGATAATTCTTTGTTATGAAAAAGTAGTCAATTGATTTATTTTGAATCTTCGATTGGACATTCTGTTTTGTTTGTAAACGATTCAATTTGATTCTATTTCTACCAAAATTTGACGCGGTAAGTTAATGTCTTCCTTTTTTTTATTTTGGGTATAAATAAGTAAGTTAACATACAGACGGGATAAATAGCATATATATATTTACAATTACATTATACAATACATAATTACATCACATTATATAATTACATTATATGTTTTAATAAACTTCTAATGTAATTATGCAGTATTAATTTTTCGTGGCACATAGAACAAATCTGTATTTGATTTTTTATCTATTTTATTGATAAATATTGTGATGTTACTTAGTTTATAAGCCTTGCTGAAAAAATCTTTTATATTGTACATAAATTATAACAAAAAAAAAACCGTGTTTGTTTTATGATTAAAATCTTAACTAATATGATTCTAGTAAAGTCTAATATATCCATGAGACATCTACTTTTTTCTGTTTACAAGATCAAGTGCAAAAATGTCTTAACAATCGTATTGTTGAAAAAAGTGTTGCATGACGATTTATCGAGAGAATGCGATCGAATTTAATTTAATCGATTGAAGACATTACAATATGCGACAAATAAATTGCGAAAGATGTTATTTGAATTTTTAGCTATTTCAAACTTAAAGTCGTGTGAGTAGCACTGGAATAATCACAAGGAAAAATGTCAAAGTTAGGGAATTTGCAGAGTCAGGCTCTGATGTCGTGGGCTCGGGTTGTTCCTTTGAATTGTCTTCAATCCATTTGGCAACTTCTTCTCGATGGCGTTTGATCCAGGCAATATTTTCCAATGCATTAGCCAATCCTGCATCTAAGGATGTTTTCTGAACTTCTTCTGATAGCACTTTTGTAACAAGTGACATTAACTGAAATAATAGAGTAGCAAAAAGTTTGTTAACGATTTTTGTAAAAATCTTAATATTGATTAGCGATATTATTAAGTTTCTATAGTATGCGTAATTCATAATACTCGACTACACTTTGTATTCCGCATAATTGTGCAACATCTAATCAATCCACTTCTTGATAAGATACAAATGCGATCAAGGACGAGATAGAAGCGAAGCTTTTCATAGGTTCTAATTACTGAAATTTAGTTACACAAAAGATACGTTATCGCGTGTTGATATTCACATATGGCGCTTCAATAACTGCTTAAAAAAATGTGCGAATTGAAGGCGGTGTAAAACTGAGAATATTAATGTTCTAACATTATTTTAATACATTGATTAAATATTTTTTGTATATGCTTTGATGTTAATTAAATTGCATTGCCAAAATTATGACGAAAATTAAGTTGTGTAGAAGTATGCATAATTATGTGATATAAATGGTAAAATGGTCGATTACATTTTCCTCTAAAAAAATAATAGGACTAATCTCTTCTTATTATAAAAGTATAAATAGATTATACAAGAAGGCGTTATTTTACCTCTATATATTGCTCGGTAGTTGTGATTCTGTTGGCAAGTTTATTAAAATGGGCAGCAAGCACCTCCGGATTCCTGCAAAGAAATCAATATATTATTAATTTGTTCACAGTATTGTATTATCAAAGTCAGCAAAGGAAAGCAACTTACTGTTGGATTTTTTGGATATTTTCTACTATGAATTTTATGAGGATATTGAAGGACGCGGTGTTACTCGTACAAACTGAATTCAATGCGTCATAGAGCAAATCTGTGTCGAGAGTTGACTTGAGGAATTCGTTTACAACTTCTTCAGATGTGATGCAACCAAGACCAGCCAGAATGTCCGCCTGTTCGTCTTTAGTAGCATTTTTGTAGAGCTTTTCTAGAGCCTTCTGCAATGTTTCGTTGTTTGCTGTTCGCAATCCGGCGCAAAGAATTCCACTTCTCAAATCCGCCGGGAGTCTGCAAATACCAATGATCATCAATAATTCACACATTAGGTGCACGATATTAACAATAAAATTTATTATTTTTTTATTTATTATTTTTATATATTTACACAAACATGTGTATCCCGTTTTGCGATCAGGTATTTTCAAGTTCGTATATTTCTTAAATATTCACATATCTTCCGGAGAAGAAAATGTGTTTTATTAGAATTTATTGAACTATCGTTGCAATATATTTCATAAAATATTTGATGACTTTTTATAGCTAGGACTTACGTCTTTGCGTTATTCAAATATTCATTCAGTTCATTCACAGCAAACTCATTGCAGGCCTTCAATCCATATTTACAAGCCGTGTTCAGCGCTAATACTTTGGCAAGTTTCTCTACATGCGTCCCATCATATGGATTTTCATATTCGACAGACTGTGCAAAGGCCGCTATCTTATTTGCAACGTATCCCTGAAATTTAATGACGCATTAAAATGGTAATTTGCAGATATTTTTAAATATTTTATTTGTAAAAATTTTTTTATCGTTGTTTAGATTTATAATTATGAAGAATAGAATGTATTTACGTATTTAACTTACATGATAGTCTGCTGTTGAATTTTGTAATACATTGTCCAGATAATTAAATGCTCTGACAGCCGCGTACCATGGGATGTAATCGGTTTCTGTTGATAGATATTCTGTAATACTCAATGCCACATCATACTGCAAGTATCCTCCACGTGCGAGATTTAGTGCATCGTCAATCAACTGGGCGCGATTAACCGCGCTTATATGTGTGCCATTTTCTGTTTTCAAGAATGCCGCTAAACGTTTCCAGTTTTCTTCGTTGTAGTTTACGCGGTAATATCCTATAAAAGAATATTCAATATTGCATTCAATCTTTATTGTCTTTGCGATAAATTCACATATAAACCACGATAATTATGAAAGTGATCTATAAGTCATAAATATGACAAATAAAATTAGTCATTCATATTATTTGTTTTATACCGTTGTATATGAAAATATTCAGAAAATTGCGAGAAAAAGAATAGTAGGATAATTACAGACAAGCGTGTAAAAAATATTTTGTTAAATAATTGAAGAATTTTTTAAAATAAATAAAGTGCAAGTTTACTTTGAAGCAACATATGCGATTTAAATTCAGATTATATTTGCAGTCACCGTAAATCTTCAACATATTGTCTGCTTCTTATAAGAAAAATATTATTTGTACATAATGTCAGTATTGGGATAATTTAATCGATTGACATCATTAATATTGGCATTAAAAATTGCGCAATGTAATAATACACACCAGTTTGATCCTTATTAAGAAGTACCCAATTATTTGTTTTGATATCGTTTGGTATGAGCAGTGTTTCTCCAGGTTTCAACCAGCCCTTGATTTCGTCATTGATTTCGTCTTGTGTAACATAGTCAACGTGTATGTGCCATTCAGTTTTATCTGGATTTGTTGGTTGTACCAGGAAAAATCGATTTTGTGTTAAATTATAATGTGTGTCGTTGAATCTCGTGACAGTGATAACAGGATATCCGGGTTCATATATCCAGTTTTTCATGACTGTTTTAAATTCAACATCTTCTGTCTTATTTTGGATGGCTTCGAGGAGATCTTCAGAATTAACGGCGTTAAATGAGCTGAAATTAAGAGTTTGCATTATCTTATTGTTTTACTGAGTGTATATATATATTTTTTTTATGCTGAATATGACTGCGATACGCGCGTCTAGCAATTGCTACGATACAAGAATTGTTAATTCCTAAGCTGTTTTATATTTTTTTTATTATACTGTATAATAATTTTCAATCTTATTTGGTAGTTTCATATTGATCTCGAAGAAAAATAAATATTGACATGATGATAAGGAGAAAGTGATTGTGTCGAAAAATGCCACACATACGAGAAATGTTTTAAGTTGGCAAATGTCTTTTTGTGATGTTTTTGAAAAAATAATTATTAATTATATTATGTTAATGTTTATTGAATGTAGATGTTGAAAGGCATTTTGCTTTTTGTTATAAATGTACGATAATCATATTACTTACTGAATAGTGAGATAGTGCTTTAGACCCTCTTGGAAGACCTTTTCTCCTAAGATTTGTTGCATCATACGAATAATAGAGGCACCTATAAAAACGAATAAAATAAATGAAAGTAGTGATTTTTCAGTTTTGTTGTAGACAACAAAGGTCTGGTTTACCTTTTTTGTAAGCAATGTCGTCGAATAAGCTTGAAATTTGAGCAGGCGTTTTTGCACTGTTTTTAGGATGCAATGCACGAGTTTTACTACTTGCGTCAACAACGAATGCAGATGCTTGCAGATTTTTTATTGCAAATTGTTCCATAAGACGCCAGTCCTGCAATTTAAATTACCATTAATTTTCGCAGGCAGTTTTTGTATTCTATCATAATTTTCTATAATGTATCTGATTCAGTTTTTTATTTATTGAATTACTTGAACAGAGTTTTTTTTTCTAATATCAAACACATTTTTAATACGTTCGCGGTTTATGTTTCTAATTAATGAAATTTTTTGAACAAAAATTTATAATTTTAGGCCATAATAGATTAAAAACATAAAGTTGTCAAATTGAGTATTAAAAAGATGAGAAATCCGAGAAATATTCTCTACAAAGATGCACAAAAAATTCTTTATATTGTTATTGTAATGATCTATTACGTATTTAGTATTTTAAACTTACTTCTGATTTGTCTTTCATAATCTTATCGGTGGTAAAATATTGGAAGAAAGTGGCAAATCCCTCGTTTAGCCAGATGGAATCCCACCACTTGCAAGTCACTAAATTTCCGAACCACTGATGAGAGAATTCGTGAGCTATCACTGTCGCTATACTCTGTCTGTTTTCTGTAGTTGTCTTATTGTCTGTGTAGAGAAGTGCGGATTCTCTTAAAAATAAATAGTAAATTAGTTTTTTATGCACTAATAACATTATCATATTTATGAAAATAATTCTAAGCTGTAACATATAATTTAAAATCATGTATTATTAAAGAGAGATAACAACTGACATATTTGTCTTCAAAAATTTTTACATTTTATAAAAATTATTAGCAAATAACACACTGTAATTTATCTTGATAGCGATTATAGATAAATCTGTGAGCTTAAGATAAAGTAGTTCCGAACTTTGCACTAATTGAGCGACGAGTTAAAGACAAGATATGGTGAAGGTTGAACTTTGATCAGTCTTCGATTAACGATTTTTAATCAAAATTACCTGTATGTTACAAGACCCCAGTTCTCCATAGCACCGGCTGCAAAATCTGGAATCGAAATTTGATCTATTTTTTGCATTCCTTGATAATTTTTGTACTCAATCTCGGTATAGTTCTCTAGTTGTTTTAGTACTCGTTGTCCGATATCGAGAGCAAAGTGTGTGCTATCGAATGCCTGAGGTTTGGCCCAAACAGTGAAATCCTTATCTTTATTTGTATTGTTTTCGAAATTTGAAACTACAAAAGCCACGAGATAGGAAGACATCTTTGGTGACGTATTGAAAATCGTTGTGTTGTCCGGAGTTTCTTTTGTTGTGGTATTAATCTTCATATTCGAAATTGCATGATATTCTACGGGACTCTTAGGAGTTACAATAGTAATGGTGAAAGTTGCTTTTATTCCAGGCTCGTCCCAACATGGGAATGCTAGTCTCGCTCCTACTGGCTCAAATTGAGTCGTTCCGAGCCATCTGTAACATTTAGAAAATTACATTATTTAAAAAAAAGTATTTTTTATTCTACACATTTAGGCTGTTATGTTAAATTATTTTATATCTTTAAAAAAAACATTTTTATTTTAATATATAAAAAGTAGATGGTACGAACTGTATATGTATAAAGATAAGAGTTTAAATTTTATAAGTTTTTTTAGTAAATTTTAATAAAAATTTAAATGTTGTCTTACATTTCTTCGCCCGTTGTATCATCCTTATAAGAACTCCTGTAGAATCCACGTAAATCATCATTCAAGATTCCAGTAAACTCCAAAGTTAATGTTAATAAGTCGGTCATGTTCACTTTATTTTCCAAAATGAGTGTTATGAAATCTCTCTCTTCTACCTCATCTTTTATCATTTTTGATACAGTTATAGTTTGATTTGTCACTGTAGATTCGACCAATGGAGGAAAACTGATATTCAAATTCTTGGCATGGAATATTATTCTATCCGTATTGTTTACAACGTTAAGGTTGATCACAGACTCTCCCGCAAAAGTAAAATTATCGTCTTTGGATGTGTTAAAAACTGGTTTCAATGTGATATTATAGTGTGTAGGTTTGATATCCTCCGGCAATCTGAAGCTCGGCAAATTGTCTAAAGTTTCTTGGAAGAATTGTGGAGGTACATCGTCGAAAATAGGATTGCTCGCCCAGCAAGTTGTTAGGGCGAGTATTAGTGGCAGTAGAAATCTTGTCTTTGACATCATAGTTGCTGTGAACGATAAATTTTTGAGTAAATACCGACTCACCGTATGCTTGTCATTTACAAGTAAGACACGATTATATACTATAATTAAGACATGATCAAGTAGAGATAAATAAAAATAAACCTCACGTTCTTTATTAATATTTTTATACAAGTAATGTAAAAGTGAAAGAGAATAGATTGAAGAGAAAAAAAGTTGTATCAAATTCTATAAATTTTGCACTGTAGAAGAAGCACAATTTCAATTCTTTGCAGTCACAGCGCGAAGTGGACTTCCCAAAGATCAAAAATCAAATTCTGTACACCAATATTTTCTGTATACATTTTTTTTGCAATGAGATTATTTTCAAAATTCTGTCACTATCTTTCAAAGTTCTAGCACAAGCGGAAGTTCGGATTTTAATCGATAGCCTTAATGACGTACCTTAAAGATGGAGTGTCGTGCGCGGGTTGATGCCTCCTCCCCGCAGAGGCAAGATTTATTAAAAGCCTGCCTGGCAAAAATTCCGCAACTTATAAGGCAGCGGCAGTAGAACGTATCGTAAAAATATATCGCTGCGGTTTATAATCTTATCACGGTGGTCTTTCGGGGAACAGAAGGTATTATACTCCTCGATGTATGATCAGTAAGTGGACTATTCTGTGCGCGACTTGCAAAATTTCTCGGACAGTTTCAACACCGACAGCACTGATAACGCGATAACTGAAATACAATGCTATCCGGCCAATCAATGCCGGCTTGACTAGAGATAACACGCAGATCCCATTTTTTTATCTTGGATATCTTTGAAAATATGCTGGGAATAGTACTATTCAAGCAATATGCTGCGTTTTAATTTGCTGCAAGTTCCATTCTTCTTAAGCAAAATTATGCATCAATCTGAAAACATCTATTTAACTTTCTAATTTTTAGTTCTGTAATTTTTTTCTGCCTAATGTTTAATATAAGAATGATGCTATAACTGAGAAAAAGATACATAATTTAAGAATTAAATAACGCGATTAATTTAAAAAAATTAAAATTTTAGAAATAGGAATGTTAGAAAAAGTATAATAATTACAATCAAAATTATTTTATTTTATTCAGAATATTTTTTTAACAAATAATGCAATTAATCAAGAATTGCATAATTTGCAGATATCTTTTTTTGATGTTGCTTAGCAGAGGAAGTTTATCACATAATTTTTTATAAGTTTCTAATGTTTTCATAAAAATTTTTTTGCAGCTATAATTTTAATCTTTAACTTGAAAAAGCAGGTATACATTCTTGTTCACCAATTTTATTTTTTTAAATACTGTTTCCGAAATTAAAATATAAATCAAAAATTAAAATTTAATTAAGATACAAGAATGTCTTACTTATTTTGGAGATTATAATAATTAGTCAACATTAATCGCGCGCGCGATCAAGATTTACTCTATTGCAATATTACATTCCTTTATGCAATTTTACATTTTTTAAATCCAATTTCTATATTACATAAAAATTTATTTATGTATTATTAATGAAATATTGAATTATTTATAATACATATAATATAAAAAATTTTAACGTGTTTTAATTTGCTCTAGTTTGTAAATTCGCGTATACCAAGCTTTTTATCAATCGCTTTTGTCATTATCTATATTTACGTTGTTAAAGATAAAAAACTGATTGATTTGGGATATAATCATCAGAATACAAACGTTATGACTCAGATCTGTAGTTTAATTTCAACGCGGAAATTTGGAACTGCACTTAATAATTAAATATGATTTAATTATTTTTATTTAAAATTTTAAATTTTATTAAAGTCTTAATTACAAAAAATGAAAATCTCGCAAACAAATGCATATAGTAGATTAATATTAAATTAATATCAAAATTGATTGTAATGTTTATATGAACGTTTATCAATTTTATATAAAAAGATGAGAAAGGGTGAAAAATGGGATGAGAAGCGATAATTCTTGATAAATATGTTGAGTAATCAATTTAAGTAGCCTTTTCTAGTGTAGATTGATATCAAGAAGATTATTAAGTTCAAGCAATTCATAGTGTTTTTAAGTAAGAATAAAGAAAATAAGATGTTCGTATCTTCAATAAAATTGTTGCATAAATAAAATTTTTTTTTTGAAAAAATATTTTGAATTTATTTTTTGGACACTAAAAAGAAATTTAGTAAGATTTATTTGATATTTAATATCAATTAATTTTATTATTAAAATTTTTTAATTAAATAACTTATATTTCGAAATTTCTGAAAATTGATGCTGAAATATATAAATATGTAAAGTGAATTTACAAATTTTTAATAATTATAATGTTCCTATTTTTTACATATTTATTTTGAATTTAATTACATATATATAATATTTGATAGTAAAATATTAATATAATACATTATTATAGATATTCTTAAACAGATTCAAACGCGGCCATGTAACAGCGCTTTTTCAATCATAGGTAAAAATTTATTGATCCATGCTATGCACGCAGTAGAAACAGCTATGGCTTTTCTCGCTGAATTCAATGATGCTCCTAGTTTGTTAATATTCTCATTAACAAATAAGCGAAGCTGTAATATTGCAAATATATTTTTAAGTGTTATTAACTCATTTAAATTAGTCAATACATAGCATAGTTTGAAAAATGTGTATGATGTCGGTATATAAAATTAAATATATTAAATAATGTGTATAAATTACGTGCATAAGTATATACCTTGCTTAATTGAGTTTCTGTTATAATTTTATTGCCTATAGCAGTGAGCATCTTATTTAAAAAATCATTTCCTCTCCTGTAAAATTAGGGAAAAATATTATAAAATTTATTTAGTAAATATGAAATTATATTGATTATATTTAATTAAGAAACGTACAAAATAAAAAATTCTAATAAGTTTTATACTTTTAATAAAATATTTATATTTTTAATATAAGAATTTAACAAATAATGTTTTTCGAAATAAAATTTTGAAGAAGTAAATTGGTTTGTTATATAATTAAATAAATTGTAAAATAAATACGAGCACGTACGATTTAAGAATTGCGCTCAAATTATGGTCAAGAAAATCAATGACATAGTTTACGTTCTCGGGATTGCCGTTCAAAATGGCGGTAACCATTGTCATCCTGTATTGTTTGCGAAGTTTTGTATCAGTTAAAGTTATAGATAAATTGAGATTTCTGAAATTCGACAAGATTTAGTATCTTTATTTAGTATCACGTTTATCTTGTGTTATCGAATTCTTAGAACTTACTTTTTGATTAAATAAAGATTTTTAGTACATCCCAGTGCATTTAGCAAAAGCTCTTGTTCTGTATGTAAATCAGTTTGCAGGTACCTGTTCCAAGTTGTATGCCAATCGTTATCATCACCTACACGAATACCCGTGCAATACACGAAACTCTTGAGATTTGCTGGAATTCTGCATGCACGAAACATGTTATTAGGTACAGAAAATAGTACTTGGTTAATTAATCTACTACTCTTTTTTTAAACAAAAACATATTTTATGCAAATGCCTATTGCAATGCAAAGTTCTGAATAAATAACATATTTATTTAAAAAAGCATAAAAAATTATGTTGTATATGCATTCAAATATTCAGATTTAAAGTTAAAAAATTGAGTATTTGCAAATATGACTATTGATTGACAAAGCTCCGTTGATAGTTGATTGTACTTTTTCTCAGATGCAGAAATCCATGACTCAAATAGAGCTTTTGATGTCTTTAGACAGTGGATGTTGTTGACCGAGCATGCAGCCGACAAGATTAGCTCGCGATGCAACTTCGTTGTCGAACTATCCGCGGGATTTTCGATAAAGCTTAGTAGATTATATATCGGCTTAAGTATGCGATTTACATAATCCTATAAATTATATTATTATTAAGAAGTATTAAAAGAGATAAAAACATGTTTCATAATCAAGAGATTGCAATGACAAAGACACTTTTTCTAACAAGTTGTATAATTAATTTATGGGATTTTAATGCAGAAAAAATCACAAATTGCATTATTTTTTAGTTATTGTTTTGATTATTTTTTTACTTAATAATCCACACAAGTATAAGTATTTAGGATCAAGAACTTTATATTGATTTTATATATAATAAAATTGTGATAGATAGTATTTTATAAATAGTTAATTAATTAAATGAGTATTGATTTATTATAAGAATGATTACATAGAAAGATAATCGCTTACCTGAAAAAGTTGTTGTATCCGGGGTGAGTCAGCAAGAATATGATTAAGAAAATTAAAATTGTTTATCGCGGCGACCCACGGTTCGTATTCGATTTCGCGAATGAGATATGTCGCAATGTCAAATGGAATAGAATAATCCACATAACCGGCTCTAGCTAAATTAAAAGCATCATCTACAAGCGCGGCTCTGTTTATCACGTGTATCGTTTCCAAATCTTTCAATCTTAGGTAGTCGATAAGCATTTTCCAGTTATTTTCGTCATAGTTGACTCTATAATATCCAATTTGTTGTACATTGAAAATCACCCAGGAATTTGGTTCGCAAAATCCAATTATTGCGCTCTCGATCTTCGGTTCCAACCATGCTGCTGTAGTAGTTTGATTAGATGTGGAATTCGAGTCTTCGGTAAAGAAAGTCAACGGTATCCACCAGCCCGATTTTTCAGAATCTGCTTGCGCTGCTTGCCGATTCAAATAAAATCGTTCTTGCGAAGCGAACAGAGTTTTCGCCGTGTAGTTTCGCATAATAGTCACTAAGGGATATCCTGGCTGATTTGCCCAGGACTCTATGACATCTTTTATAAGTATGTGCTTGTGCAGTCGCTCTGATCTATCTGATGCGGCTTGCAAGTATCGATATACGTCCGATGGGGTGGCTGCTTGATATGACCTAATAATAAAAATGAGCTCTTTATGATAAGAGTAATTGACAATAAGTAAAATGAATATTATTATTTTCCATAAATTATGTTATTGTATGCATTTTGATAATAATATTGTGCAATCATGATTTTGTATGAAAAATGAATTGATGAGATTTGAAAACACTTTGTGTGTATAACACTTACATCTCACGCAAATAATTTTGCAACCCTAATTGAAATGCTGCACTGCCGATCATATGATTGGCCATACGAATTATAGATGCACCTGAAAAGAATACATAAATAGCATGTTGTAATTACTTAATTTATATTAATTAATGTTATATATTATTAAACTATTTTCAATGGTAAAAAGTTACGATATTGATATATTATTATTAATTTATATTTGAATGATTTGTTTATAATTTTTTTTTAGTGTTACGTGAATTAGTTCATTTAATTTTCTATGATTTTGCTAAACCACTATTTTTATTAATATCTTGTAAAAGTAACGGAAATATAAATAATTCAGATGATATGAAATTACTGATGTACGAAAATGAGAATATAAGTGTACATATATTGAAAATACGTATCAGAGATTAATTAATTTTTTTTATGATTTGAATATGTAATCACGATGGTAACGACGATGCATTATCACATGATTGGAAGATATTCTTATCTGTTTTGTCAGATCGTTATACACGTACAATGATATGATCAACAGGTTACGTAAAGATGACACAGCATACATAACTGAAGTAATTGAATGTAGTCTATTAATAAAATAGATACGGCTATATAGTTTTAAGAAATTTCTTTAGATTAATTTCCGTTTAATGAGCATTCCGTGAACAATTTATCATCCTTGGCGGAAACATCTTCAATGTCTTCAAATTTACGAAACATCCATACTTTCTGTATAAAACATGACCTTTTTTGTAAGAAACGAAATCCAAAGCAGCCATAATGCTGCCAGGGCTCCCGACCTCCCGACCGTTCAACGTGCGTGAATGATTGTCGGAATCTGCGAGCAGTGTCGGCTGCAGACAATCTATCACGAATACATCCATCATCCTCAGATCCGGTTCCGTTAAGGACACACCAAAGTATTGAAAATACGTAGCGAAACCCTCCTTTAACCAAACAATATCCCAGAATCGAGGTGTCACCAGATTTCCGAACCAACTGTGAGCGTACTCGTGAGCCATCGTCGTTAGTCCGTTCAGCACTATTCTCGTCGGGGTGGTGTCGTTTTCGTGCAACACCACGGATTCTCGGTATGTGATGAGACCCCAATTTTCCATCGCGTTAAAATTGAAATCCGGTATTGCGAATTGATCGACTTTCTCGAGCGGGCTCTCCACCGATAACCACGTCTGCAACGCCGAATAGACCGCTCGACCGCGATTCAAGGCCATCGATCCGCGAAACTTCATAGAATCTCTCGTCCACATTTGAAAGTTCTCCGAAATTCTTGATCGTTCCGGGACGAAGTTGTGCAATGTCCATCCTACCAAGTACGTCGAAACTCGCGGTGTACGGCGAAATGTGGTCACGTAGTAAGTATTGTTTCTGAAAGTGAATCGGCAGTGATCTTGTTCTTCGTTTCCTACCTTCTATAGTTTTCTTATTTTAATAAAATTAGGAAAATTGCGCACTAACTTTATTCGTATAGATTCCACTGGAGTGTTACTCGTTGCTTGTTGATCTTTATGGTGACCAATTCGCAATTGAAATTCCGCTTTCAAATATGGCTCGTCCATGCAAGGAAATGCACGACGTGCATATGTGGGCGAAAATTGAGTCACGGCGATTCGTCTAAAGAGCAACAATTGTTTGCAATCTGAATAATCAGTTTGTAACTTTCTATTGATAGAAAGTAAAGAACTCCGCACATTTTATATGAAAAAAGTGGCTTCGGTCAAATTGGCTGAAGTAGAAATATGTTTTAGTTTAGATGGTATTGATCAAAAGTTTCCTCTGGCGTGTGTATGTGCGTGCGCGCGCGTGCTTGTGCGTGCGTGTGTCTGATATCTGCGTAACACACATACACGCACGACAGAGAGGGTTTGGAGTTATTAAATACTGTAGAAGTGGCATACATCATATATATGTATATTTTTTCAAACATTTATTAACTTAATCTGTGTATTTAAAAATAGACATTTCTTAATCTCCAATAGCACTCACTTCAAATCATCTTTTATACTTTTGATTTTCGGACTTTTTGCCAGAGGAAACTTTTGATCAGCATCACTTAAACTAAAACATATTTCAATTTCAGCCAATTTGACCGAAGCCACTATTTTCATATAAAATGTGCGGGCTTTTTTAGCTATATAAAAAAAGTTGCAACAATTCTAAAATATTATGTGCTCTTATATTACTTAAGTTTTCCGTCAACTTCATATAGACTTGCGTAAAAGCCGAAAACGTCGTTTGAGATATATCCATTGAAGGACACTTCTAAGGTATACTTTTCAGGTTCCAATGCGCGCTCGAGTTTAATCGTGAGCATTTGTGTTTCTTCATCATACACATATTTCAAAATCGGAACCGACTGACCCGATTTATCCGATAAAGATGCGTTTGTTTGTACAGTTAATGTATCCGTATGTAGGACGATAAAATCTATCTGTCCGAGCACTTGCACGATGATTCGTACGTGACCATTGTAATCCGCGTCACTGGGATGTGTGTAGATTGACAGATCGTAGGATACGGGAACGATTTCCTCGGGTAGTCGGTACCGTGCGGAAGTCTCATTTGAATTTTTGTTTTTATCTGCGCTGGCATTATCATACGCAAATACCAGATTTAGAGCGTTGAGAATTATTAATGAAAACAAAGTAAACAGTAAGCGGTTAGTCATGATGATTTCTTTTGCACAACACAGATCTAGTCAATTTTTAAAAGTTGGTTGTATAGTATTCAGCAATTACACACATACGCACAACTTTTAATGCGTGTAAGCAATCACACGCATATACAAACGTACAGATACGCACATATACACATGTAGTCACTACGCGCGTACACGAGCCCTACTCGTATTGATATCGTGACGCGATAATTTCTTTTTAATTTGGCCTTAGCAGTTATGTATTTGGAATAAATTTTATAGGAAATTTAATTATAACGCAACGTTCAGCAGTGTTTACGCTATATCACTGAGTTAAGATGCTATGTGTTATTCGTGATTACTACGCAGTTGTATTATTTTTTACGCTCTCGATGAGACATATAATAAGATAATATTTGTTCGACATACTTAAACCACTGACGATAACGAGACTTTCAACAAGAATACACCGGGAAACATACTTGCTGGTAAACGATTTACCGTATTTTATTTTTATAATTTAAAGAATTGAAAAACATGTATTTATCTAAATTAATTAAGTAATTATCTACAAAAAATTGGACTTAATATCTGAGATATCGTCGAATGTGCTAGTACAAAGAAAATTATTCTTATTTATATTATTATATAAATAAAATTCTCGATTAATCTTAAGAATCTATAATTGCTGATAACTTCTTTTTTATTTTTATCTTTTTTTTCTTCAGATGCGACATTTTATCTGTCGACTTTATGATATATATTGCGCTACTGATATTACTCCTTGTTCGGCCAAGTGGCTGCTAGTTAGTGACAGTGTTGAGGTTTTAGGCACAACTTGCTGAGATTTGCATGTAATTGCTGTAGGCTACATGTCTTGCCTCTAGGCTATGCTATGGGTTTACCTACGCTCTATACACCTTGATATTGGAAGCCTAAGCAATAGCTCAAGTTTGTGTCGTAGGTCTACATACAAATTTCTTATAATTTATTTACAGAAAAATTGCAGACAAAAATATAAACATATTTTCTATATTTTTTTGATAAAGAAATAATATTGCATTTTTTACATCAAATAAGAAAGATTGTCTTTCTTGCAAAAGTCTTTATTGCTTGAAAGAATCTGGGGTGTCTTAAAAAATTCAGTCTTAACTAGATATACTTAGAATAGGTATAAGTACAAACATAATACAGCAATATCGCTATAATGACATATTTCAGAATTTTGAAATTAGTTTCTTAAATAATTTAGAAAACTTTTTGTCTAGAAGGAAAAACGTGAAAGGAAAATTTAGAAAGATATATAATATATTAAACACTTAATTATTTACAATTAAAATGTATCTCTGCGAGCTTTGTTCTTTGACGTATAATAATGAATTTATGAGCTGCAAAAAATATTGATCCATTTTATGCATTACGGTTATTTAATGAATCGGTTAACAAGATCGCTCGTATATGACATGGCTGCAGCCTACTAGCTACATATTTTACAGAATCATACGCATTTGCTTTTCTGTGAATGCTTATTTTATCAAATAAAAATAATTCTTTTTCTTTACGATAAAAAGGTTGTGATGATTATCTTTTCATACAATTTGTTGATGAACTAAGATATATTTCTTTGATGTCTTGATAATTACACACGTTGGATTAACGCGTCAAGTGCAACCGTCTTGATTCAATATATAATTTTGTATCGCTTTAAAAATAAAAATTTTCGCATAAGTTAAGAATTTAAAGTAAATTGTGAAGAAAGAGATAGCAGAATCTGTAAATTGTGGAAAAAATATAAATTTAATAATTAAAAATATAAAAAGTTTGCAGAGATTATTTTTTAAAAACGCAAAATTCTTACTATGAATTTTATTGATCTTTTCTAATATTAATGGAAACAATAAAATTGTCACAGAAAAAAAGTTTTATTTTTTCTATTTTAACTTAAACAATTTTTATTTCCATCTCCATTTTCACGATTTTTATTTCCATATTACTCCACGTGTACTTTTCAATTTATAAAACGGTAACGAACATTATAATAATTATTAATTTACACAATAATTGTTTGTCTAATATATTTTAATTTTGAAAAAGTGTTTCAAAAAACTGCAAAATATACGAATCTTTTTAATTTCAAATGTGATATAGAACATTTTAATCATGGGTAGCAAGAACATACTAGACTGCGTCAAATGGAGAGCTATATGTATAATTGAAAGGCTCACACAGCGGACGACTTGAAGGAAGTTGCAGTCATGATTGGCCTGCATAATGAAGAAGCTCGAACCCCATTATACTCGATGGCAAGCTTAAAGTTCCAGCACCTACCAGGTGCCTAGGTAGCTTGTGACAATCCTGAAACGTCCCATTGAGAAGCAATCCCTGAGAAAGTTTGTTCGGCTTATCCTAGTCTTCGTATGGATAAAACGATGGACTGCGTATGTGTTTGCATGATTTTCTCCTTTGCAAATTTGTCTCTCGTGAGTTAAGGTACTTCGAAACTGCATCGATGATGCGTGAATACATAATCTCGCCTGTTCCTGACAACACGGTGTAATTGTGTTAGTTTAGAAAGACCATAAAGAAGAATATTAATATTTTTCGCAATGTTTTTGGATATTTCTCTTTTTTCACGTTGTAATAATTATAATTACTATTATTTAAATGTTAAATAATAATTAATATTATTTAAATATTTTTTTAACGCCACAGAAAGATCATAAATTTTTAAACAATTTCCGAGTATTATTTTAAATGATATTGAGAAATTAAATAAAAATATTCTGTTTTCTTTAAATAACATTTCTTCGAATGTTATTGCAATGTATTTGTATGTAGATAATGCTTGTCGCGTGAAAAAAGTTTGTTTAAACATAGATTAAAGAAATGGATAAATGCATGATTCAAGAATTTGGAATTAAATGATCTTCGAATCATGTTTGCTTCGAGCTAACGAGTTATCGTTTGACAATAAAATCGAGTTATCGCTTGATAATGAATTTTATCGTTCTTATCACATAAAGCATTCGATAAAATTCGTTATACCACCAGCTTACGGAAAATATTAACCGGGACATCCCGACTCGCATTCTGTGAATTGTTATCTTATACAACGAGCATTATTAGTCTAATAATAACCATAATTTCAATATTTCTACTTAAAAATCGATAAAAATTAAATAATGAGATATATTTGTCTTTTATTTATCATTATTATGAATTCAGATTAGTTGTTGCATAAATTATATCTATTTTATTTAGATATATTTTATTTAGATGTTCTAAAGATTTGTTTTATAGACATTTTGTTTCTTTTAAAGAACTTGACATGATTTGAATCATGTACAAATATTATGTGTTTGCAGGGCAAGCGTTGCACGATACGCAAATACTACAGGCAATAACGCTATTTACGTACGAATGCTTCGATTAGAAATAAATTTAAATTCTTTTAAAATCGATACAAATAGTAATATTTCCTGGCCTTCCATTTTGCTTTGCCTCTGTTTCGTATACGCGCGTGTTATTCACGCGCGAGAGAAATGCAAACATGTACCATGTAAATAGAATTACGTTCGCTTGATCGTTCTCGACTTTCAATTGACAAAATTGCGTTGGTGCAGAAAGTAACAATTCGTTTATCCAAAAATCTGTCAATCAACTAGGATACCAATAACGTAGACTTGCATTTTCTCAGTTTAATAATTTATCTGAAATAAAATATCTTACATATATTTTACATACATGTAGGCGTTTTTTTTACAATAGAAAGAATATTTTTTTATACATTTACGAACATTAGACAAATCTTTTTAACAAAGTGCTCTTATAGCAGCATCTGCAACGATGTCTTTAATATTTTAAATTAAAACAATATATATATATATGTAAAACAAAGCAATTAGTATGCAAACATATTGTTTTCACATTTGCTAACGATTTATATTATTTTGTTACGAAATATCTTATATTTATAACGTTTCCAGTAATTTTCCACGATAAGTTATCTTAGCAAGTCTTTAGATTATGACTTTCCATGTGTAATGAATACGTATTTTTGTAACAACACACAATAGTGTTTACGAAAGTAATTAATAGTAGCATCAAAATTAGTATACGATGGATGGATGATGGAAGTTGAGTAGAAAGATGAAGAATGACGTGAAATCAGCTTTGCTGATTTGCAAGAATTTCAACATTCTCTTGATCCTCCTCTCGGGTGTCAAGAGCAATTTTGGCATCCTCAAATTGGCCGCCTCGGGGGATGATGTGGCCATCGGCCCAATATTCACTTGTAATCAACAATTATTCACGGTGAACAAATTGATATCAAGAGACATGTTCTAGATATTCATGCCTGGATACTCGTATCTGGATATCCGATAAAAACGACTTTATCTGTTATTCTATAGCTTGTTCCAAAAATAATCGTATATATAAAACTCGCAATGTATTTTGTTGTACAATTCAACATTGCAAGTACGTTGATGCGTTGTGTAATTTTCGCCGTGTTCGAAACATGGCATAAAGCGATCAATTACTGGACACCAACTTTCGATTCAGGCGGTCGCTCGCGAGGCTCTTTGGGATCGTCATCGTCTTCGAAATTGAATCAAGACCCGTGGAGTCGCGGGTGAAGAAGAGTATTGGCGGTCGGCGGGACGGCGGCCGTCGTGCTCGAGTGAAAAGGAAGTGATGAAATAAAAAATCCAGCATTTAGCCGGGGCCGAGGCTTAATTCAGTCAGGCCGACGAAGGCGAGTTTTGCTCCGGGGCGTTTGCAAACTGCCTTCTACACAGTCTGCTTGCTTGCCTGGGTAACATCGATGACGGAAGCTCGGTAATTCGATTAAAGGACCGTTTGAAAGCCCCGACCTCTCTCTTCTCGAGACATACTGACGTTGTTCTGCGTTCCATTCGCAACGCGCATATGTAATTTATATATGTAGCGTGCGTAGGTGTATGTATAGTGAATAGATCGGCCGATGTCTTAATGCTGTCCACTGATCCGATATTTTAATAAGCTCGGCGAGTCAGTTAACATTGTTAACAGTTTTTGCTATTTTGAAAAGGATGTTCGTGGGATGCATGATGTGTGAGTTATGCTGACCTACCGATTGTATTATATCTAATAGCCATTTGTGAACACATTTCATAGAATATAACACGCTTTGTTTATAATGTTTTAACTTTAATTATAAAAGTTAGAAAAATGTTTGATACGAGCTGAATGTTCATATAAAAGTTTAATTATTTTAAAAGAGTTGGAAAAGAGTAGCACAAAACATTATTAAAATATTGATGAATAATTAAGTAAAGTAATTTACAGAATATGCCATTAATATTTTATTCATAATTAATCAGTGGAAAACAAAATTTATTATTTAGAATTGTTGAAGAGTGCGCGTTATATTAATTAA